TGAACCCGAGACTTCCAAAAAGGACACAGTTGAGAGGCCAGCAGCAGAGCCAATTTATAATTCACATCCTGAGACTGCACAGAGCCACGGCAATGGCTCCTTGCAGCTAATTTGAGCCAATTAATTATAGACTAAATTTGAAACATCATCCTATGCCGAGAAAATTATCTTTTTATGAGATGATGATTTAAAAATGACTATCAGTAACTCTTAGATCATTGATGCTGGAATTAATTATCAAAGGCAAAGGACAGTAATGGATTATATTTCTGAGATATGACTACGTTCTGCATGTCATTAGTGTTATTTATCTCAAGGCTGATAAAGACCCTGCAGAAATCCATGTTTGCTGGCTGTGCCTGTCCAGGTGCCCTGTCCATTTGTCCAGGCGTTAGCCGGGCAGGCAGGCCTGTGTAGTGTCTCTCAGTGGCTGCACCTCTCACTCCCAACATTGGCCTGCATCTGCCCTCTGAGATGGGGTGTTCCTTGAAGGCTCCTTACCACTGATTTTCAGGCTCTGGAGGAAACCTGGCAGGAAGCAGATGGCAGTCAAGGAGTCAGAAGACCCGGACTCAGGGCGTAACATTCCACCTGAGCGCCCTGCCCTCCCTGTAGATCCTTGACCAACGCATCCCTATCAGTTTCCTTCCACTGAGAAATGGGGCGACAGCTGCATCCTACCTTATTCCTTTCTTCACACACCTGGTCCCCAAAGTGTTCTGGGGCCACAGTCATCATTCTTGTGTTAGGAGGGACAGTGGAGGCTCAGAGGCTTGATGGCAAAACCACTCAGGGACTGACCGACACAGCAGTCCAGTCCTGGGATGGGGTCTGGTTGTCTCCTGGCTCCCCTGGCCCCCTGCTGACCTGAAACAAGAGTCATGGGAGGCCTGGGGACTTCCAGAAGAGGAAGGTCCCTGAGGCTCACTGCAAAGATCAAGTTCCCCAAAACAGGACACTCTTAGCTCAGAGCAGAAACCATCCTGGAGAGGGCTTGGGCAGTTCTGTCCCCAGCTTGGTCACAGGCTCTGGGTGGTGCCAACGTTCTAGTTCAGAAAGGGAAAGAGAGTGCTGCCAGCCCACGGTGGACACGGGATGCTCCCAGGCAGATTCTGGAGTGGCCCAGGTCGGTCAGGAACTCAGACTCAGGTGCGGTCTCTGTCCATCCCAGTCCCTTTTGGGGCTCACAGGGAAGACAGATCTTAAATGCAGGGGTTTGGTCTGACTTGCGGGCAGAACGCGGCTCCACACTCAGGACCTGGACCACAGCGGGGGCGGGGCTCACCTTGCCTTCCTGTGCCTTCTGTGTGAGCAGGGTCCTGGAGAGCGAGGAAGGTCGTCGCGAGTACCTCGCCTTCCCCAGCAGCAAGAGCCCCGGGGGAGGCCAGAAGGGACGCAAAGAGCTGCTGAAGGGCAACGGCAGGCGCATTGACTACATGCTGCACGGGGAGGAGGGGCTGTGCCCAGACTGGAAGGCCGTGAGTCTGGGCTGGGCTGGGCTGGGCATAGGGGACCCTAGCCCTGCACCCCTTGGCAGCACTGAGCTCTCCTCTGGAAATGGGACGTGCCCATCCAGGGGGCCTTTGGGGCCCATGGATCCTCCCACCCCTCTGCCTTCAGGAAGGTCTGGGCCAGGCCTCTCCTTTACAGGATGCCCTTTGGGTCTAACTGGGATGTTTCTCCTCCCCCCGCCCAGGAGGTGGAAGAATTCAGTTTCATCACCCAGCTGTCGGGCCTGACAGACCACCTCCCGGTGGCCATGCGACTGATGGTATCTGCGGGGGAGGAGGAGGCATAAATGGGCCAAGTCATCACGAGCAGCAGGGCCTCCGCCAGCCCTCTGAGCCGCAGTCCCTCCCTGGCCATGTCCCCTCAGCGAGCACCACCCGTGCTGGGGGAGGCGGGCAGGGGCCTGGGAGAGCTGCAGCCAGTCCTGGGTGAGCTGGAACCAGCGCTGCCCAGCACCTCTGGGCACTCGCCATGGACAGAAGTCAGGCCGGGCTTGGGAGTCCTGGCTGCCCAACCAGTGCCATTCTTTCAAATTGTTATTTTCTACAAATCTACAGCACAACCTAGTTTGTAACCCGTGGGTTAGTATGAGAACCGGGTTTCTGTACTCTTTGTATCTCTTTTCAAGCTTCGTCCAGGGTTCATTATTTTTGTCTGCTGCCATGTTGTCTCGCATGCCTGCACCCTCGCATGCACGCTGCCCGCATGCCATGTGCCACGCTGTAGCCACAGACCCCTCACTCGGGCCTCACCCAAGGCCAAACTCCAAACACAATCAGAACCAGCCAAAGAAGCATTCCTGGACACACGGCCGCCGGCTCGCCACCTCCAGCCTGGACAGCTCATGAGCAGGGACCGTGAGGGCTGTGTCCAGTTACCAGCGAGCCCGGGCTCTTCCCCAGGGTCTTGCATTCAAGGGCGATTACATTTTAAAGAAAATCAAAAAAGTTAAGAACAAAAACAACCCTTCACTTTAAAGGGTCTGCAAGCCACGAGGGAGAATGCTGCTTTTCCTAAGACAGGCACAGCAGAGCCTGGAGCCTCCCTTGGAGACTCCAATCTGGGCAATGGAGCCATAGACGGGAATCCAAGGAAAGAGCATCACTTTTTTACAGGAAAAAGGGCAACTCACGGCATTAGGGGGGAGGGAACTTCTGGTTTTGAAAATGATAGATTTGTAGCTTCTCTTCTGTCAAAACCAACACATCCTCTTTCTGCCTGATCCTGTCTCCCCTCCGGACACCCTTCTGGTTTGGGACCAATCTTTTCCTGGGGACTGTCCCCATCCACGTGCTGGCTGAGCTCAGGAACCGTCCACCTGCCTCTGGGTGGGGCTGCGGCTCTGTCCTCCCAGGCCAATCCTCAACAGCAACCCGATCTGGGGGCCCTGGACTAAGGGGCTGGAAGCCAAGGCACAGAGCAGCCTGTCCCCTCACCAGCGTGCAGGCCGGGGGTGGCAAGGCCAATGGCCACTGCTCGCCCCAGGCAGGGAGTGATACTGGCTGGCATCCACTCTGCCACCATGTGACCAGGGCCAGCCCCAGGCACACGCGCACAGCATGGCAGAGCCTGCAGGTGAAGCCCACAGCTCCTCATCCCATGGCAGCACTGCCTCTGCCCACTGGCCTTTTTAAACTCACCTGGGGACGCCCCCCAGAGTCACGCAGGGAGGGTTTTGTCTGCTTCCAGGTGCGAGGCCCCTTCGACTCTGGGAGCTGTTACTGACAACTCCCAATGGTCTCCCCTCTTCACAGCGCCCCAACCCATGTGCCCGCCTGGCTCGAGGCCAGTTCTGCCCAACGAGGCTGGGGACACACCAGGACCATGCTGCCAGGAGCCTCCTGGTGCCAATAAGCTGATGCTGTGCCTTGTCACCCACTGAGCTGCAAGAGGGACCAAGAGGGGGCCAAGGCCAGAGGCCAGGCCTGCGCTGGAGTAAGACACTCCTGAGAGCCACACTCACAGTGGCACTGGTTGGTCTGAATGCCCCTGCCTGGGGCAGCAGCTGAGCTGAGGGCCTCACTGCTTGGAGCACTTCCCTGGCCAGGCCCCCAGTCCCACCCCCCAAGTCAAGCCAGGAGGGGCTGCTCACCGTCTAGGGTGTAGTCCTCCTTGGGCTCTCTGCTGCACCCCTCCTCCAAGGCTGTGGCTCTTGAGGCCCTGGCTAGGCTTCACTGGATCAGAGGTCTCCAATCCCAGGAGCAGCCAGGAATCTGCTCACAGGTGGAGCTCAACGGGGCAGATGTGATGCCTAGATGTCTGGGCCTGAGCCGAGGCCCCCAGGCTGCGGGTCAGCTGTGTGCCCAGGACAGCAGCGGAAGCAGGGCCAGGGCTCCTGAAGCAGAGCAACTCCAGCACAGCTTTCATCCTTCAGAGGGGCCGCCTGCCTCCCAGGGCAGCTGGGGAGGAGCCAAGGCACAGGGGGCCATGCTTCTCTCCCTACTCACAGGGCGGCCTTAGGCAAGTCATACCTCCCTGTGCCTCAGTCATTTCCTGTCCTAACAAGGTCGCCTCTGCCCAGCCTGCCTAGTGTCCAGAGCAGAGCTGGCCTGGCTCCCCTCTCCCCTCGCACTGCCCTCTGGCAGGGCCTCAGCACTGAGGCCGCCATCACCCAGCCACGAGTTTCATCAAGCCCGTGCATCCCCGGGTCTATGTACAAGCCAGACTTTTCCATTTCGATTTTTAAAAAAGAAAGAAAAGAAATATCTCAGATGTTTCTGTGGCATCTAGGCCTGGGAAGGACGGACCAGGGGTCACCCAAATCCCCAAGGCCCTGCACCTGCCCCGGGCCCAGCCTCCTCCAGAGAAGGCAGGAGGCAGGGGTCAACTTTGGAAGAAAACGGTCATTTCATTTGTCCAGACCACCTTGAGTTTTAAGTATGGATATTAATCTTGATGCTTTTTAACTATTGTATTAACTTGCTGAGATTTAGAAATACTGTTTTAAAAAAGGAAAAAAGACTTTTTTAATTTCTGTATTTTTTTCTGTATTGTATCCTCATGGGACATTAGGGGTTTTATATGGTAAGCACACCTGAGGTTTTGGTAAGAACATTATCAAATATATATCCAGACGATTCTTCCCTAGAAGAAAAACAATCTTTACACCTGATAAAATATTTTGAAAAGAGAGGTGTTTTTTTTTTCCTTTACTGGTGCTGAAAGGATGGATAATGAGGAAAAAATAAAACTGTGAGGCTCAAGGCTGGTGTTCTCCACTCATTTAAGTGAAAAGCTAGGCTGGGCCCTGCTCTGACTCCAAGGGGCTAGGCGGCCAGGCAGGGCTGTGGGGAGACCACTGTGGGGGGCCTGCCTTTCCTGCCTCTCCCCACAGGATGGGCACAGCCTGAGTCTGCCCTGAACCACCAGGAAATCAGGCCCCTTGGGTTCTCTTACTCCCTCTGGAACTGGGAGTAAACAGCAGAAGGGCACCTTGAGTGTGGGAAGAAACAAGGCTAGGGCCTCCTTGGGGCTCTCTGACCTTCTCTGGCAAGGCAACGTCGGGGTGACTGCACTCATACCCATCTGCCCCAGACTTCTAGGGGACGAGGTCCTTCTGCTAAAAGGGGGGCACACGGGAAAGGGCCGTACCTCCTGGCTCCCTTCTGATGGCTGGTTTCCTGGGTCTGCCTCTGAGGAACTGCTTTGGGACAGCCTCCTCCCTATCCTCTGAAAAGCAGCTTGGTGTCTAGGTGCTGGTCTTGGTCACCTGCTGGTGCTGCACATGGAGGCCAGACCCTTACAAATGTGGACTGGTGCCACTACTTAGCAAGTGAAAGGGTCTGAACTCGGTCTTTGGCCTGGCCCTGCCAGGGTCTTCAAGGCCTCGGGCCCAGCCATAAGTCTGCGACTCTGCCCCCAGAAGCCCCTCCTAGCTGAAGCAGGCAGGTGGGACTCAAAGGTCCCCAGTGCAGGCCAGGCTAGGCCAGCTCCCACGAGAGCAGCATGCCCACCCCAGCACTGCATAGCCAAGAGCAGCCCAAGCTGCCCAGCCCAGTCAACTCTGGCTCCGCTCCCTGGTTGGGTAGGAGGGACGCTGTAGCCTTGGAGCTTTCTGAGCACTTCATAACCACTGCAGGGTGGGCTCCTTGGCCCCTCCTCAGCTCCAAAGCCATCCCCGCTTCCCACCACATCTGGAGCAAGGAGCCACAGAGCAAAAACACAAAAAGGGAAGAGGTCTCCTCCAAGCCCAGAGGCCGAGCCGGGCCCTGAAAGGAGAGGCGCCTTCACCTTCCTTCACAGAAAGCCACACCATTCAGAGCCTGGCACCCTCAGCCACTTTATTTCTCAACAAGTGAGGGTCAGCACCCACGGTCCAGGGCATCTGAGAGGGTGAAATCCACAGTGACATCTCCAGTGTGGGGGTGGAACTCCACGGTGTAGGTGATGGTCTGGGGGCCACCTGGTGGCACTCTGGGGTCTAGTGTGGTGTTGAAGAAGTACACAGCCTGCTTGCAGTGGGGGTTCCAGCAACAGTACCCCTGCAGGGGAAGCAGCAAGAAGGCGGTGAGGGCTTCTGACACCCCAGCACCCTCCTGGCCAGCCTCCAGCCCAGGCAGCTCGTGGTGGGAAGCTGCTGTTCAGGGCCGGGTGACCTGGGGCCACTGAGGAGTTATCATCTGGCTGAACATGCCAGGAACACCTGGAGCGCAGGCAGGTGGCACGGCGGCACCTGCTCTCAGGGCCGGCCCACTCTGGGACCCGCGCACACAGCACTACCTTGTCCTCCGCAGGTTTCAGGAGGCCGGTGCTGACCGTGCTGTCTGGGGTCAGGTGGTATTCCATCCACAGGACGGCTCCGTGGCTCCTCCCAGGCCTGGGGGTGAGGGTGGGATGAGGGGTGGGAACGTTGGGCCAAAAACAAACAGCTGCACGAGAGACTGGCTAAGCATGGTCATGGCTCCCCTCTGCTTTTCAGAAACCTCTCGTCTCTTCCACTTCCATCCTGCCCAGTTAGGAGGCTCCTAACACTCCAACTGACTAAGGCAACTCAGTAAAATGCTGAGCAAGAAGAGCCACAACCCAAAGCTCCCACTCACTCCCCACAGCCTGGCCAAATACTCAAGAGTAACCCTGGGGCAGGGCCAGCTTGCTGCCGGACCAGCCTCCTCGGCCTGAGGTCACAGAAAGGTTTGGCTCAGAAGGCTCAGAGAGGAGTCCAGGCATCAAAGTCTAGAAGATCTCTCCCAGATACTCTGGATGGCAGGCACAGATGGGCAACTGTCCTGCCTCCCCCTTGTCACAGGAGCCCAAAGGGGTTCTGGGCTCACGGCCTCCACCCAGTTAGAAGAAAGTTTTTCCTCTGGGAAGAAGCCGCCCCTCCCCATGAAGGGAGCTAGGGCTGGAGCTGGATGGGCCTGACCATGCATCACAACGACAGCCCCTACCAATTCCTAACCTGCTTTAATTCCCAGGAGAGTTCAGGAATATGATCCACTGGGTAACCATAGCAACCAAATTCACATTTCTCTGCAGCTGTGTGTAACATGCTGCTTAGCTCAAAGGGAGCCTCAGATGTGGGAGGATCTGAGAGAGCCCACTCTGGCTCGCCCTCCCCACCCAGAAGCTGTGGGGACCCACTATACACTCAGGGCCACTTCAGGAGGGGCAAGGTTGAGACAAGGACAGCCATCCCACCCACATGAAAGTGGCCAAAGTAAGTGCTTAGCCACTCGGGCTATAACTATGAGAAAACAACCCTGCCACTTCCCCCAATCCCCCCACCTTGGAGACCACACTCACCTCTTCAGCTCGATGGCACCCTCAGCACAGACAGGCTGCAGGGGGACCGGCTGCCGAAAATCAAAGGTCAGGATCTGCTGGGGCTCGGAGCGGCTGCGGCACGGGTACTCCCACAGTGGGTGGGGCTCGGCCTCCTTGCTCTCCCTGAAGTCGAGGGCGTGCTGAGAAGGGAAGAGGAGGTAGGGGTGTGCAGAGACAGAGCCGGGCGACCAGGGAACAAGGCCATGTCCTCGGCTCCAGAGTTTATCTATGCCAGTGGCCCCTAACCTCCATGGCCCTGGTCCCTCAGGGTAATTGCCATAGTCACGTGGGGCAGTGGGTCCTCACAAAAGACCACAGGTGCCTAGCCAGACCAGCTGGCTTCTGTTCCTGCCACCATTCACAAGCCGTTTCCTCAGTAAGTCACTCTAAGCTTCATTATCTCCCTTTTAAAACTGGATGACTGGGAATTCCCTGGTGGCGCAGTGGTTAAGAATCTGCCTGCCAATGCAGGGTTCGATTCCTGGTCCGGGAAGACCCCACATGCCGCAGAGCAACTAAGCCCATGTGCCACAACCACTGAGCCTGCGCTCCAGAGCCACCAAGCCACAACTACTGAGCCCGCGAGCCACAACTACTGAAACCCGCATGCCTAGAGCGCATGCTCCACAACAAGAGAAGCCACTGCAATGAGAAGCCCGCACACTGCAACGAAGAGTAGCCTTCCGCTCGCCGCAACTAGAGAAAGCCCACGCGCAGCAACGAAGACCCAACCCAGCCAAAATAAATAAAGTAAAATACAATAAAATAAATAAAATAAAATATAAAACTGGATGACACTGCCCATCTCACGAGCTACCTTGAAGACCAACTGTCTATTGATGAAAATACCTGTCATTTGGACACTTGCCCATTCAGTGACCCTTTCTGAGCACTACAGCTGCCAGATCACCCCCATACAAGGCTCCCAGTCTAGATGGAGACAACTGGAAGACAAGCGAACACAGTGCCTGGGGGACACTGACCAGCTGAGAACAGGGCTGGGCAGGAGAGCTGCCCGGACGGGTGATCTCTAGGCTGCCTCTTGAAGGTTACACAGAAGTTGGCAGCAAAGAGGAGAGTGGACAAAGCCCAGCAGGGAAAGGGCGAAGAGCAGTGCAGAGCGGGCCGAACAGTGTGGGGTGACTGCTGGGGTGGGAGTAAGGGCTCAGGGAGCCTTACAGGGTTTTCCTGCAGGAGACAGACAGGGCCAGACTTCGGATCTACAGATTCACCTGGGCTCCCTGCGGAGGAAGGCTGACTGGGAGAGGCAGGAGGGTGCATGGTCAGACAACGAGAGATCAAAGTGCCCCAGACCAGACCAGCAGCAGCGGGGGAAGAAAACTGGCTCACAAAGGACCTGATGGTTATGGAACCCAACAACCAACTGCAAGGGAAGGTGAAGACTTGTCTGGGAGGTTGCTGGGGCCCTGAGCCCAGCAGGCAGGTATGAAGCGGCAGCAGGTCTAGGACAGGAGCACTGGAAGGGGCCAGGCTCAGGGAGGGGAAAGAGAAGATGGATTCTGGAAGCATCAGGTCACAGTGCTTGAAGTCATCTCGGTGCAGAATCCACAGCTCTTAGCTATTTGGTCTGAGCTCAGGAGAGATGCAGACACTGGCCAGCAAAGAGAGAAGATGGGGACAGCTATGGGGGTCTGGGCAGGGGACTGGGGGAGACCTAGAACACAGGACACATTAGGGGATGAGAAGAGGGGAGGAATCCAGGAAGGAGTCTGAGAAGTGGCCAGGGGGAGCCCGGGTGTGCAGTGGTTTCTAGAAGAATCGAACAGTCAGTGGTATGCTGTGGAGAGGCAGGTAAGATGGAAACTGAAAATGTCCACTGGATTTATTTACTTAAAATATGTTTACACAAGTAATCCAGAATCACTGTAGAAAAACTGTAAACAGAAAGATAAGCAAAATGAGGAAAATATTAACCACTTCCTAATCACACAACTAACATTTTGGTGTCCACTGCTCCACCCCTTTTTCTCTGCATGTGCAAATTTTTTTCTAATTAAAAAGAAATTGGGGCAACTTCCCTGGTGGCACATTGGTTAAGAATCAGCCTGCCAACGCAGGGGACATGGGTTCAAGCCCTGGTCTGGGAAGATCCCACAGGCCGCAGAGCAACTAAGCCTGTGTGCCACAACTACTGAGCCTGCGCTCTAGAGCCCGCACTCTAGAGCCCGCGAGCCACAACTACTGAGCCCACATGCCACAACTACTGAAGCCCACGCGCCTAGAGCCTGTGCTCCGCAATAAGAGAAGCGACCGCAACGAGAAGCCCGTGCACTGCAACGAAGAGTCGCCCCCGCTCGCCACAACTAGAGAAAGCCCGTGTGCAGCAACGAAGACCCAACACAGCCAAAAATAAATAAATAAATTTATATTATTAAAAAAAAATTAATATTGTACACAATTTTTAAAGGTTACTTTCCATTTATAGTTATTACACATGTGAATTTTCTTAATACATAAAAATGGGATGGTGCTCCCTGCCCTGCCCTTCTAATGGGGCTCATGACTCTTCACATCCACCCTGGCTGAGCCAAATATCGCTGGCACTTTCATGACTGCTCTAGGTTCTGGGAGATGGAGACCCTGGTGGCTGACTCGAACCCCTACTGATGTACAAATAACCCTGCAGGACCTTCCTTGCACATCCCACCCCCCTCCATGCTCTAGCACTTTCCCCTGGAATGGAGTCCCCAAAATGAAAATAGCTGGCTCAGAAGGTTGCCAAAATTGCCTTCTAGAGAGACTGTCCGAAAAGAGAACAAGCTGCTGACACTGGCAGGAATGGTTCCAGTGGCCTGGTGGTGGACAGGCCCCAACCCAAAATTCTGATTCAGGGGTTACAGCCCAGGGGCAAGAATGGCCTAATACCAGCCAGACTTGGAGACCCAATGGCTCTCAGGTTCATGCTCATGGTGAACCAAGTAGAATGGATACACCTGCCCTCGCTGCCCCCAACAGAGGAGCTCTCTGCATGCTGCCTGCACTGCCCAACCCAGGTCCCTCCATGGAAGCCACACGTCCCCATCAGAAGCCTGTGGCCATGTGGAGTGGGTGGGTGGGACACTGTGGGTGGGAGCTGTGGCCCTGCCTACCTTAATCATATCATCCATGATGTGCACATTGAAGCCTTCACAGTCACCACAGGGGCTCCGGATCCTCCACAGGTCCTGTAAGGAAGGCACAGCCTTACTGACACCCACCCAGCCAGGGCACACCAACATCCGCACTCACCCAATGGGGGCAGGTGGGCAGGCACACCAAGGGCTCTGTGGGACAGCACAGAGATGTCCACGCCCACCCAGGCACACAGAAGTGTGGTGACAAAAGCAGGAAGGGTAAGTGAGGTCAGGCTGGGGGGCTGCCCCAGCTCCAAACCTGAGGCACATCTTGCTGCTCCCGCAGGCGTGGAAGAAATGCCCACAGTTGAATGGGCCCAGAGACACCAAAGACCCAGGATGGTTCCTCAAACCTGTAAAGCCCCCCATGATCCCAAGCCCTCTCCTATGAGGGACAATTGGCCAGAGCTACCAGGATAGTGTCTCTCCCTCCTTGTCCATCCTGAACACCGGTTCATTGGGAAGAGCTCTATCAACCAGTTCTCGAGGCTCTACGCCTATAAAGAGAGCGTGAGGACAGGATCCCTGGAGGGGACCAGAGGTGCACTCTGGCCAGTCAACGTTGCATTCTCTGTCTCTTGGACATATGCCTAGGAACAGTGTCATTCTCCACATTCCCTCTTTGGCCATGAAAACCAGAATTTACATGGAATCTGATCAAGTGAATAAAAAATACAAAAGAAATGCCCAGAAAATTAAGTGATGGAACCACTAAGCTACCAATGGATAAAGCCGTTCTTATCAAAGAAATATCAAATGACATTCACGCTACATTTCAGGTTAAAAGCATTTCAAAATCCTTTTAATAAAAAATGCCTTTCCCAAAATGACTTTGTGACTGTGGTTCTGCTTTGATGAGAAAATTAAAATGAAGGTTTTCAATTTTTCTCGCATAAAGAAGCTGACTCGCCCATCTCAAAATGCTTTTAACAACGGGAGCCTCAGCTCTCTTTCTTTTTTTGCCAGAACAGTCACTTTATTAACAGGAAGTGGGGGCCAGGCCTCTCGGCCCAGCGTGGCGCGGGCTGTGTGTGAGGTATGGTAACAGAATTGGAGCCTCAGCTCTTAATGAGAGCAGAGCAAGCTGAACGGCTTATCTTCTGAAACTCTTAATTTATATTTTAAAATTATTCTGATAAGCCATAATTGTAAAATGACAACACACAGCCATTTCCATTTCATGTGCCAAATTACTTCATTTTTACAAAGGCAAGCCTCTTCTATTCAGTCCTGCAGTGTGATGACACAGAAAAACAGAGGCCCAAACTATTAAGACTCTAGTTGCTCCATCTGCATCCAAAGTCTTTACAAGAAAACAAGGTTCCCCCCATCCCCCGCCCGAAAACTTCTGGGTGGCCTACCCTGAACTCCACGACCATCATGTGCAGCGAGGCAGCCTGGGGCATCACCACAGCGCCAGGCGCCAGGTGCCTGTCCACAGCAGACCGTACATACCAGAAGTACAGGTTGTGCCACGGAAGCAGGCTGGTGGTGAAGAACGGCTCACCCAGGAGGAGAGAAACCTGGCAATCAGAGCAAGAAGCAGGACCAGGGCGTCAGAAGGATTCGGCTGAGGAGTAAAGGACAGGTTACAAGTTTCACAGGCACATTCGTTCATTCATTCACTCACCCACTTGGTCAGTCAGTCAGTCAACAAGCATATCAAGGTCTGCACCTGCCCTTGAGCATACAAAGATGAGAAACAGACATGAGCCCTGCCCTCAGGAGTGCAGAGTGGAAGGGGCAGCAGACAAGGCTGGGGGCCGTCCTCAGAGAGTGCAGTAAGCTCTGACAGAAGCAAGGAAGGGGCTCGTGGAGAGACTCTAGAGGTAAGAGCATAGGGAAGAGCTTCCAGAATGGCATCCTGTAAACCCTACTCAAAGCCTTATCATGACAATTTATTATCAGCGCTAGTCTGTCTCCTTCACCAGGCTCGGAGACCACAGAAGTAGGGACAGAGAAGTGGCAGCACAGTATTCCCAGCACAGCACCTGGCCCAGAGCAGATGGTCAGTGAAGGTTTGCTGATTAGATGAATAAATGCATGAACAGGAGACAGAAAAGCAAAGGAGTAGGGATTACAGGCAGAGGGATGGGCAGAAGCAAAAGCAGGGGTGTGAAATAGAGAAAGGCCCTTTGGGGAGCTTGTCAGACGAGCAGGTGGGGTAGGACGGTAAAGAAAGGGTGAGGCCACAGAGGTGGAGAGAAGCCAGGTCACCAAAGGCAGCTGATGACAGGTAAAGGGGACTGGACTCTGCCCTGGAGGCAAGAGGGGATCACGAAAAGCTTTAATCAGCGTTTAGTATGAGAAGGAATGTGCTTTAGAAAGATCCCTCAGGAGTTCCCTGGTGGCCTAGTGGTTAGGATTCTGGGCTTTCACTGCTGTGGCCCGCGTTCAATCCCTGACTGGGGAACTGAGAGATCCCACAAGTCACACAGTGTGGCCAAAAAAAAAAAAGAAAGAAAGATCCCCAAAGTATGTAGGAAGTAGGGAGGCTACCTGCAGGTGGAGCTGGGGACAGGACATGACTTGGGCGAGCACTGCTATAGTCCAGGCAAGGAGTGGGGAGTCTGTGTCAAAGGGAGGAGAACCAGACAGCAGATGCTGAGGAGCCAGACCACCCAGGGCTGGGCCCAAGCAGACAGGCATCAAGGACAGGGCCAGTCCAAGATGACACATGGGTTCCTAGTTGAGATGACAGAGATGCAGAAGGAAACAACGAAAACAGAAAGGGGTTAGCCCTGTGTATTCCCTGCTCCCCCAACACTGAGGCAAGAATGCCCACTCTCACCACTTCTACTCAACAGTGACCTGGAGTCTAGCCAGTGCACCATATCAATGGCTTTCAGAATTTAAATTTTCTTTCTTTCTCTTTTTTTTTGGCCGTGCCGTGTGGCTTGTGGGATCTTAGTTCCCCAACCAGGGACTGAACTCATGCCCCCTGCAGTGGAAGCGTGGAGTCCTAACCATTGGACCGCCAGGGAATTCCCTAAATATCTTTTTAATCCTCATCTATAAGGGAAAGAAAGAGCAACTTGTACATGAATGATCAGAGCAGCATCCTTCATGGTAGCCAAAAAGGAGAAACCACCCAAATGTCCATAAACTGTCCATCAATATGGATAAATAAATGTCCATCAGTATGGACAAATAAAATGTGGTACAGCCATACAGTGGAGTATTATTCAGCAGCAAAAATAAATGAAGTATTGATATATGCTGTAACATGAATGAACTCTGAAAGAAGCCACCTACGAAGGACTATACGTAGCATGATTCCATTTATATGAAATGTCCAGAACTGGCACATCCATACAGAAGGAAAACAGGCTAGTGGCTGCCTAGGGCTGGGAGGCTGGGGATAAATAGGGAGTGACTGCTAATGGGCAAGGAGTTTCTTTCTGGGTGATGAAAATGTTCTAAAATTGACTGTGGTGATGGCTGCATAATCTTATGAATATACTAAATCACTGAACCGTACACTTTAAATTTCTTTGCTGCATGAACCATATCTCAGAAAGAAAGCTGTTCTTAAAAAAAAGGCATGGGAGGAAAACAGGCAAAAGGCTTAAATAGATATTTCACTAAACAAGATATAGAATAGCTTATAAGCACATGAAAAGGTGTTCAACATTATTAGGCAAACACAACTCAAAACTACGAGACATCACCACACACCCACTAAAGTGGCTATACTAAAAAAAAAAAAAAAAGAGGGCTTCCCTGGTGATGCAGTGGTTGAGAGTCCGCCTGCTGATGCAGGGGACACGGGTTCGTGCCCTGGTCCGGGAAGATCCCACATGCCGCGGGGAAGCTAGGCCCGTGAGCCATGGCCGCTGAGCCTGTGCTCCACAACGGGAGAGGCCACAACAGTGAGAGGCCCACGTACCGCAAAAAAAAAAAAAGAGACAATACGAAGTGTTGGTAAAGATATGGAGAAACTGGAACCCTCATACATTACTGGTTGGGATATAAAATGGTAAACCCGCTTTGGATAACAGTTTAATAGTTTATTTAAAAGTTAAACAGTGAATTCCACTGCGGTCCAGTGGTTAGGACTCGGCACTTTCACTGCTGAGGGCCCAGGTTCAATCCCTGGTCAGGGAACTAATATCCCACAAGCCATATGGCACAGCAAAAAAAAAAAAAAAAAAAAAGAGTTAAACAAAAATATCACACAACCCAGCAATTCCAAGCCTAGGTATCTAAGGGAACCGAAAACACAAACCCTCACAAAGACTTAACATACCCATGCTCACAGTAGCATTATTCATAATAGTCAAAAACTGGAAACAATCCAAATGTCCACCAACAAGTGAATGGGTAAACCAAATATCACACAGTCATACACTGGAACACTACTCAGCATTGAAAAGGAACAAAATACTGACACATTCTACAACACGGATGAACCTTTCAGCCATGAACAGTGAAATAAGCCCGACACAAAAGACCACATATTGTATTATTCCACTCACACGAAATGCCAAGAAAAGGCAAAGTTACAGAGAGAGAAACCACATCAGTGGCTGCCTGGGGCTAGGGGCTGGGTGATGGAAGTTCTAAAACTAGACAGTGTGACAGTTATATAATTCTCTATATTTACTAAAAAATCTTCAAATTGTACACTTGGAATGGGTTAATTTTATGGTATGTCAATTTTATCTCAATAAAGGGGTTAAAAAAAATGTTGGCAAGAAAGATGACAGGTTCCAGCTTGAAGGGCCTGTGGGATATGTGAGATTTGAAGACCCGGCTTGGACACCCACGATTCCCACATGGGAAGGGATGTGATGGTCTTGAGAGGAGATGCAACAGAAGAGGAGAGGACAGACAAGAAGAGAGCACCAAGGACATCTGCAGGGAAGGATCAAGTGAAGGAAGAGAGACCGATGAAGGGCTGAGAAGGAGCAGCCAGAAAGAGAAGAGGAAACCCTGGAAAGGCAGCCTCTTAAGGGCCTAAAGAGAAGTATGTTGAGGAGGGAGAGGCCCCTGTTGTGCGGGTGCAGGAGGCCAGCGAGATGAAGCAACAAGGAGACCGTGTCTAGTAGCTAAGGTTACTGAGGGCCGGGAGCAGTTTCGGAGGCACACGGGGGACTGAGGAACAGATGGGAGGCGGAAGCGTGCACAGCAGTGCTGTGAAGGGAAAAGGGAGGGGACACGATGTGCCGAAGTCGCTCTTAGCAGAGCTCGTCTGCCGTTGCTGAAGGAGCAGCCGTGAGCCACTTGAGAGCTGTGCAAGTATTTGCTCAGCAGGCATCTCTGCAAACCTCACCACACCCTCAACAGCGGCGAGTCCTTAGCTGGTGAGTGACTGGGGGACACACAGTGAGGTCCGGAGAAGGGGGCAGTCAGGCTGTCTCAGAGCCGTGCTGTCCAGAGCAAACGCAGAGCACTCACTACTTACCTTTTTACCCTCCAAGTCTGCAGGTGTTAATAATTCAGGCCGTTTCTCTATTATATTAATTTTATCTTCCAAGTGGTTAGCCTTGAAGATCTTAGAGAGAAAACAAAACTATTGTTTTTGTCCAGAAAAAGAACATCTCAGTTCCTTTATCTGTGTGCAGTTCTCTGGCCCAACAGTTCTGGAGCACCACTTTCAGCTGCTTTGCAGAACTTCTCCCATCCAAAGGCCTCCTACAGACCTCAGATGAGATCAGGAGCAAAATGTCATAAGAGCAAAAGAAATTTCTCTTGCAGGCACATTGGCAAGACTTAGCTGTAGACTTGTAGTTCTGATGGAGGTAGGTTATCCCTCAGAGAGGGAATCACAGGCCAGGAGGAGAAACACTGTCACAGAACCAACCAGTCAGGTCAGTTTGTGAGCAGTGACTCCGTGGGCGCTGGTGCCCCAGAAACAAATCTCAAATTCATTTCTATCACCACAAAGACTTTAGTTTTTTTCATTTTATGTGAAGTGAGGAGAGAAGCCTAAACATCTTCAGCCACAACAAACAAAGTAGAGTCTAAACGCTCACTGCTATTCAACGACAGCCCCAGAAGACTTCCAGGCCAGCTCTCGACTCAGGAGTCACAGAACTTCACTGGCAGCTCCTACTTCTCCCAGTTCCCTTGGTACCAGCACTGCTTCAAAGCGATCAATCCCAGACTCAGGAAGGCAGGCCCCACAGGTCCCCTCGTTATTTCAGTAACAACAATTATCACTTACTTTTTTCATCAGTCTATGAGAAGCTGCTGAATTCTCTATCGTAAATACCTGAAGAGGATACCATGCTATTAGTTGTAGGAGGTGCACTTAACAGAGAAAGAAAACAAAGATTAAAATGCAACTCCAAGGCAGAGGACAACATCTAACTAACTCTACCTGTGCTCATTATCCCCCTGGGACAGTACAACATTCTGCGCTGAGCCTAGCGAGGTGGCAGACTCAGACTCGGGAGCTGTGGCGATGGGGCAACAGCTATAGCCTGACTCCTGCCCGCACACGAGGCAACAACCCCTTAGCCACCAACACAAGCACGCCTGCCACATATGTGGCAGCTGCACTTGAAAGAGCTTTAGTCACAAAACCATGTACCCAGACCACATGACACCCGAACTCAAGAGCGGCCGTCAGGAACCTGGTAGAAGGCACATGTCCAGTACCTGCTCTGCCCCAAGGTGATGGGCCAGTATGGAGAGCAGACTGCCATCACTGATGCACAGGCAGATACTGTCCGGCTTAAGCACCTGCAGAAAAGAACAACCTCAGCACAGATTTTCTTACAATGTCAAGAAATGCCTGTTGACAAACTGACAGGAACATTTCCCATCTGACCCCCTAACTCACTCTGTGATTACTCAATCTTGATTTCATTCTCACTCCATCCCCTACACAGCCCGGCTGGATCTTCCTATGCCCTAACACCAGTCATACCTGCCTCCCAGGCCCAGGTGGTAACCAGCCCCCCACTCCAACACAGCCACCTCCCTCACCTCTCCCCACCATCAGGAAAGACTGTCCTCAAGCCATCCTAGAAGGCCCAGCTGAAGGGCTGCCCTGTTTATCAGAGGCAACCTCCCAATCCACAACCACAGGCCTCTTCCCTACCTGGTCACAGCACAGAAAGCTGTAGGCATGTCAAATGACTCCCCAAAGCAGGAATGCCTTTATAGGTCAACAGACTCCTCTGAGAGAAACTTAGGATGGTTGGGACCCTCCCTCCCCCCAAAAATGCAAGCATATGCATACGTGCACATATATTTTTCTGCATATGACTCCAAGGGGTCCAGAGACCCCCGTCCAAACCTTGTGTGTGGTCCCCAGGCTGAGAGACCCCTTCTACAGGTAGCAGGGAGCAAAGGTCTTTCAGGAGAGTTACATGACAAAATTTACATTCTAGAAAATTTTAGAAAGGAAGTAGGAGATGAGAGGAATAATGGGGTGGCTGAATCCACAAGGATCACGCAAAGGAATTGCTGGTGACCATAAAGGCAAAGTGTCCAGAGGTAAGGCAGGGGCCAGGGAGAGGCTCCCATAGAAGAGCAGAGAACAAGCCCTCAGGTAGTCCAGAAACAAGCTCCCTGGCCTCTGCCCAAATGCCCGCCCAGAAGGAGCCAGCTGAAGCCACTCATGGACAGAGAAGGGAGCACAGAAAACAAAACCAGCTAATCATAAGTGAGCAATGAGCTCGGTCGGGTCCATGGGACAAACCTCTCCTGGCCTACAACCACCTAAGGGGCTGGACACTTACCGTCCTCAGGGCCTGGATGTATTGATCAGTTCTGTTCTGATCATTGATCTCTCCAAACCGAGGCCGGTTCCAGAGCAGGTGAGCCTGGCAGTCACACACAGGGCGTGCTGGGTGGGCTCTCCCATCCTTTTCGGGGCTGGGCCAGGAAATGAACAGACACAGGGTGATGACCTGCTAGGCACCAGCGAGCATGAAGGCACGGCACAGGGACCTGCCCCAGGGAAATCGAGATGGAGAGGGGACACACGCATGGTCCTCTAGGGGGCATGAGTCTAGGCACTGGCTGTGGAGTGGGTGTTAGAGGTCGGAGGGCCCTCCAATTCAAGGCTTCTCATATATATCTGCTCCAAATGGGGGTCCTGCCACTGGGGCAGCCTCTTCAGAGTACACACAAACAGGCATTGAAATACCCAGTCACAAACTTTCGCTCTTATTCTGTTCAGATACAAATGTGCCCACACAAACCTCTACAGGGTCTGTACAGGGAATTTAGATAAAGGCACAGTGTCACAAGCCTAATGTCCCACCCAATGAGGCTTGGGGCACACCTGGTCCTCTGGAGGCTGTACCACACACAGTAGTCGTCGTGGTGGGCTACCAGGCAGAGGGCTGAGCCCTGGACAACAGGCTCCTCTTCTGGCAGGAAGTACACACACTGCATCCAGTGGTCCCGCCACTGAAACAGGAAGAGAATCAGCTATCACCAAGCTGCAACAAGAGCAATGCATCTAATCCGGGGGCCAAAACCCAATTCAAAAATCAATTTGCAGGGAAACCACTGTGTGGACTATAGATAGCTACTATGGCCAAAGAGATAAAGAAGAAAATTCTCAAGTCAGAGAGGCTAAAGGTTCAAAATCTTGCTGGAACACTGCTGGCTTCAGAAGGATAGAATGTGGCCTAGGGCAGTAGTCTTCAAGGTGGGCTCAGGGGAGGGGACTCCAGCCTCTGCCGTGTGTGTGTGTGTGTGTGTGTGTGTGTGTGTGTGTGTGTGTGTGTG